CTAGCACCAAATTACTAGAAAGAATAACCTGGGGATAGCTACGGTTTGTGGAATTTCAAGAAATAATTCCAGTGATAATTACCAATTTTGTTTCTATTATTAGAAGACAAATATTAAGATAGGTAATTACTTAGCTATTAGGTTTTTGATAAATATGGACGATCAATCATTATTATTATAACTATTTGTCAAAAATTTATATGTAGATGAAGAATAATGATAACATTCATTTGTTATATTTTTAATGGCAAAAAAAAACCCATCTTTTTGTTAAGCTTTTAATTAAAATTAAGATTTCCAGTAATTAGACTCAGAAACAGTCTCCTAAAGAATGAAATGTGTTTAAAATATTTCTAAAGTGAAACAGGAAAAAAAGGAACAAGAGCTGATTTTTCCAATGTTTCACTTGCACTCCTAACTTGTCGGAAATCTAGAAACCCCGTAGAACAGTATGTTGGCAACTCTTGAACTTAGCTACTGTAAACTGGTTTTCCCTACTGCCTATCATTTGGCATCATTAATCTTCATTAAACCAGTTTATCCCATTGAGCTTAAAGTCTCTTTCTTTTTAGAGACTTGAAAATTGAAAAAGACATTTAAAACAAACAAGTCTTGTTTAAGTACTCTGTATGGGTGAAATATAACTCAGCACAGACTCTGCTGATCATATTCTACAGGGATTTTATCCAGGATGAGAAAGTACAGTACATTTGCTTTATATACAGTACTGTATATCACACCAAACTATATACATGAAAATCTGTTGCATTGCCTTAAACTGAACTGTCATGCTCAATATAGCTTTATAAATATTGACACATTTCCTCTACCACTCCATGCCTCCCCCAAATCCCTATGTTAATTGTGAAATTATAATAATACAAACATGGAAAAATATGGACATTCATAGTGAAGGATCGGTGTTTTTGGTAGCTGGACACCATCGGAGCAGCAGATAAGGCCAACAACCCCGATTTAGGAAAGCATCCCTATTTGAGACAGCACATAAGCATGTCATGTGCTTTACTGAATAGAGAGATGGACCTAGGCAGATGTGCTAGTGCTTTTCTGAATTGGGGCCAAAGGTAATGGCCTATCTGCATGATAAATACTTATAAGTGGAATCCGTTGCATATATAAAACAATTGCAGTATTCTTTTCATATCTGCTAGTGGTACTCAACATTCCAGTGGAAGTCTGAAGGATCTGCCAATTATTTCACAGTTTACATTCCTACATCCCAAGGATCAGTATAAAGGCCACCATGGTGGCAGAGCAGGATTGGACAAAAGTTCCTGAAGATTTAATTAGGAAGGAGGAGTGCCTCATGTCATTCAACAGCAGTTCCTCCAACTAAATGGGGCTGGCTTGGGGAGCTAAAGGTCAGGGGCCATGTTCTGATCTCTTTTATACTGACATAAATGCAGAGTAATTCCATAGTCTTCAATGGTATCATGACTATGGAGCTACAATAACAATTAGAATGTAACCAGTGATTAGCACTTATCCACATTTTCGTCCAGTGATCTCAAGATATCGGTGTAGTTGTGATCTGCATTTGATGCCAGAAGAAATATTCGAATAGATTAGTTTCTCTTTACGGGCAAAGTTGCCAGGCCTATTCTTTTATCGCTGTGACATATCTGCCTGATCCTACATCCATCCAATACAGTCTGTGGAAATGTTGGATGTGCGAGATGTGCAACATTGGGTCTTGATTCTATAAATAGGAGTTACATATGGGAACAGAGTTTTACAACTGTACAAAACTTCAATTTAAGAAATTGTTATTTTTTGTTCATTCCCTCAGAGTTTCACTTTGAGTTCTCAGGTTTGAATGCTTTTATTTTGGTTTACAAATAAAATTTAAAAAAATCTTTAATCTGACAGGATTTCATTTGTTAACGCATTACTTCAGTTTGACAGCAGTGTAACTTCATTGATTCCAGTGAAGATACACTGGCACAAAACTGGAGTACCGTGACAGTGATTGAAGTCCATATTCTCTAAGTTTCACAAGACTATTCTCTGCCTTTCTAACTTTGTATGCCAAGTTTCATAGCGGAGGAAATTTATGTCCAAGTTGCCCCTCTGAAAACAAAGTTGCATATAATAAAAGCAGATACAACCTGAAAAGTAGTGTTGGGGAGACTGCACAACACTGTAGGAGAATATTTATTTTGTTTAAGCCAACTAATTTTCTCTTTAAAGTACGTATTGCCCTTTCCCTGCCTGAGAAGAATGTTATTCCCCGTTCCCAAGTACTGAGCTCCCGTTGACATTAATTGACAATTTCACGTGTGGAGGGCTTGCAAGGAAAATACACTTTATGGCAAATAAATTATTTATTTTTTAAAAAACAGTTCCTTCTCCTCATATCCTCTCTCTTCCAATGGCTTCATTCAAGTAAAAATTGTAATCCTCTTTTTGTGACTCTGCAATCGATTGTTGCATGAAAGTTTGATTTCTGGTGTTTAATCAAAGTCCATGAGACTTACACATCTGAATAACAAAACTTTGCATACCTATAGCACCTTCAGTCCAGGTATTTTGAAGTGCTTTACAAACATTAATTAATTAAGCCTGACAGTACGTTTTGAAGCAGGATGGTGTTACCCTCATTAGTATTGTCATTTTGCAGATGAAGAAACTGGTGCACACAGAGATTAAGGACAAATTTTTCAAACTTGGGTGTTTAAAATCAGGCACTTAAATCCATATTTAGGCTCCTAGAGTGCAATCCTGCTCCATTGGAATTCAATGGCAAAACTTCCACTGACTTCAATGTTGTAGGATCAGGCCCTTAAAGGAGGTTTGATTTTCAGATGTTCTGAGCATTTGCGTGTCCCATTGAAATCAGTGGGACTACACGTGCTCAACATCTTTGAAAATTCAGTTCCCTGCAATTTAGGTGCTTAAATACGGAATTGTCTAACTTTAGCCGGCCACATTTGACAATTTTGATCTAAATGACTTGACAACATCACACAGAAAGTCCCTTGCAAAACTGGGAATGGGACCTTGACTTATTGATGCTTGTCCTCTGTTTAATCACAAGACCATTCTTTCTCAATTATCTGTACAGTATCTAAGGACAAGTGTGAAAAAAGCACCACTGTATGCTTAGAAATGCCTGTGTACTTGCACTGATATTTTGATGTTATGTCCATTGAAGTCAATGAGAGTTTTATGTGTGAGGAGTGCAGGACCAGCCTAATGGTTCGCAGCTGACTTTACATTTGGCTAGATTGTCCCCTTAAATGTAGCCTTAGAATTAGGGGCTGCACATTCCTGCACTATAGCTAGATGAGCTCTGGGAAGGAATCATGGGTGAGATTTTCAAAGGCGCCTAAGAGCCAATTCCCACTGAATTTCATTGGGAAAGGGGAGGTTTTTAAAAGTTCCCAAACTGTTTAAGAACACAAGTCTCACTGATAGTTTATGGGATTTGATCTCCTATATGCTTTAGGTGCTTTTTTAAATCAGGGTGCCTAACTCCCTTAGGCTCCTTTGAAAATCCTTGCTTATGTCTCCCCATTGCTGACCAGAAACAACTTCCCCTTCTTGCCACACTGGAAATCTCTGCCCTGCACCTGTCCGCTCCTGTCACACTTGTACAGAGGGATGTAACAGGTGCACAGGTGCAGCAGCAATCTATGAAGGTCACACGGAGTATGTGAGGGGGAGATGGACTGTATGCAGTTCAGGTGTTCGCATTTTAAAAGGATGTTGCAAAATTGGAGAGGGTGCAGAAAAGAACCACAAAAAATGATTTGATGACTGGAGAAAATGCTTAGGGCTTGTCTACACTACCTGCCAGATCGACTGGCAGCAATTGATCCAGATGGGGTCAATTTATCGCATCCAGCATAGACACGATAAATCGACTGCTGAACACTCTCCCGTCGACTCTGGTACTCCACCAGAACGAGGAGCGCAAACGGAGTTGACGGGAGAGTGTCAGCTGTCGACTTACCGCAGTGAAGACACTGCGGTAAGTAGATCTAAGTACGTTGACTTCAGCTATGCTGTTCATGTAGCTGAAGTTGCATATCTTAGATCGACCCCATGCAGTAGTGCAGACAAGCCCTTAGAGTGAGAGAATTAAATTGCTTAATCTGATTATTTTACCAAAGAGAAGATTGAGGGGTGACTTGATTACAGTGTCCAAATGAATGCCTTTGTGGGGAGAAAATAATGGGTAGTAAAGCGCTCTTTAATGTAGCGGAGAAAACATTACAAGAACCAATAGTTGGAAATGTAAAACAGACAAATTAGAAATTAGGCATACATTTTAACAGTGAGGGTAATTATCAGAACAAACTGCCAAGAGAAGTGGTGGATTCTCCATCTCTAGGGCTGGGTCTACACTACCCGCCTGAATCGGCGGGTAGAAATCGACCTCCCGGGGATCGATTTATCGCGTCCCGTTGGGACGCGACAATCGATCCCCGAATCGACGCTCTTACTCCACCAGCGGAGGTGGGAGTAAGCGCCGTCGACGGGAAGCCACAGAGGTCGATTTTGCCGCCGTCCTCACAGCGGGGTAAGTCGGCTGCGATACGTCGAATTCAGCTACGCTATTCGCGTAGCTGAATTTGCGTATCTTAAATCGACTCCCCCCTGTAGTGTAAATGTAGCCTAGATGTCCTCAGATAAGATTGGATGCCTTTCTGGAAGATATTCTTAAGCCAAACACAAATTATATTTTAGTCAAGCGTAGGTTATTGGGCTCAATACAGAGATAAAGGACTGAAATGTAATGGCCTGTGATATACAGGAGGTCAGGCTTGATGATCTAATGGTCCATTCTGGCCTTAATATCTGTGAATCTGAATCTTACTGTTCCTTATATCTATGCAGCCAACTAGGAGCATCCCAAAATATGGCCCATTGTGATGGGTTTAAAACTATTATGTCTAAATACAAATTGCATTTTAAATGTCAAGAACTATATTAAATTGCAAAATCACAATCCAGAAACTGCTTGGTTTTTTCAGGCCCTCCTGGGAAACGAGGTAAGAGGGGCAGAAGAGGAGAGACCGGTAAGTTTTCACTTTTGGAAGCAAGATGTCAGATTTTATTTTGTGTGGATGGGTTTTTCTCAGTATTTTGTCCATTTTGTGCAAATATATCTATTATTCTACTGGATAGACTCAGCTACTTTATTTTGGTTTGCATTTTTTCTTGGGGGCAGAGGAATGCACTAGCATGCCTTATTTTTGCTCTTTGTTGCCTGTGAGCAATAGGAAGAAAAGATCTGTAAAAAAAAAATTCTGATAGAAGTTTTGTGATCCTTGGCATATAACTTGTGGCCTTCTAAATTGCTTTCAATCTGACATAGTATTTAAATTGTAGACGTGCTTCACAATACTTGAAGACCCTTTAATAGTTTTTGTAATTTCTGACATAAGACATTAATAATAAAACTGGTTATTGGTAATTCTGAAATAATTTCAGCACTCTGAGTCTTCTCTCATTTACACCTGTGCACATCTACATAACTCCATTAAAGTAAATAACATTACAATGGTATAGATGAGTATAAAATCAAGCCCTTTGTGTTTAGAACAGATCATGTCATGAGGAAAAGGGAACATGTTATATGAACAGTCATGGAGGTAATGTCTAAATAGACTGAACTTTGTAAAATAAACTGTTGATTATCAGGAACTTGTAGTATTTAGGATTCTCTTGAATTAAAATCCAGACTGTGTTTGTAGCTGCGAGTTTGCAGATGCAACATAAAAATAAAGAGAAGCTTTTTGTTTGTGTGGAAACTGCACTTGGGGCTTGATCTTCTCAGGCGCTGGGCACCTTCAGCTCCTCTTGACATCATTGGGAGTTGACGGCACTGAGCACCTTGCAGGATTCAGCTCTTTGTCAGGGTGGTGTTTCTAGAAGTGGCATCAGAGAAATGGGTACTTCAGATCCAGCTGGTTATATTGGGTATTTTTGGTTATCTGTGAATTAATCTGGCAGATTAGGAGAAACCTACAGTCTGGTTGATTCCCATGAATCTTAGTTGTTCACAGTAATCTATTGTTTTGTCTTCTAGGTAGTTATAAATTAGAACTTTATTTTGTTCTTAGAAAATTATTTCCTTCTTTTTCTTGGATAGCTAAAACAAAGCCAAACTCTGATAAAATTAGATCAACTAACTCTGATATGTTAATCAGTTTATGATACTTGCTGCAGAGAAAAAAGTTACTATATAGCTGGAATCGCTCAGGTTGAATTTGGCTTTACAAATGATCTTGACAAATCAAATGAACTTGGCAGCTACCTTGCAGTATGCTTGACTTTTCATTTTACACATCAAATAAACACACATTAAGATATTAACAGAGGAAATTGATCTCTTTCCTTTAGAAACAGACCCCGCACATTAAAATGCTATTTGGAAATGTTTACCAGTATAAAGAAATTACCTTAGTTACTAGACAATAAAATCACATTGTTAAAAACAAAAGCCTGACAATATCAAAAGCAAACTGAAAATACAGCTGTTGCTATTTTATGCCCCTTTTGCACCTCACTTTATTCAGAAGTTAGAGGGAGGCATGAGAGCTAATGAAAAGCCATTGATTTGGGAGCTGCAGCTGCTCCACTTAATAAGAGTGAAATATTAGATTTGATTTGCAGCCCTTTGATAATGTTCTCAAGAACTGCTGTACAAAAGCCTTTGAATCTAAATAATTGGAAAAAATGTGCAAATATCACTTCACAAAGTGTGACATTTTAATAGGGAGCATTTTATAAGTGGGTCTTGAAAAAAGACAGCGATGAAAGGAAATTTCTGTGGAGTCAGGTGATCACTGGAACTTCTCCTTATTGGCAAAGGAGGAAAGTAAGAAGATCTAGATGCAAGTATTTTTGTCTTAATGCCAAGGTTAAATGCCAAGGATCAAAAAAATATTGTGTAATTTTGCAGACAAGCTGTAATTTAATTCCCAGTTGCATGGCTAATTGAAACTGGTAGATATAAAATATATGCACATGTGAAGTCTGAGAAAACAAATTGTATTCCATGGTTAATATTTTTTTGGCCTGCCATGAGACTGCATGAAAATAAATGAAGAATAATTAACATGAAATTGCATGGAAATGGGTGAAGAATATTTAATTCTTCAGCAAAGAAACTGCATGTATTTAAGTCTTTGGCATCACTACTATCCTCAAAGAACCAAAGAAGAAAAATATTGTTAAAGATTAAAATCTAAACAGTATGTTGATTATGCTAATTTATAATCATGTGGTCTCATTTTTGGCTTCTTGCATATGAATCTTTCTTACTAACTTCATAAACTTATATACTCTTTTTTTTCTCTTTTCCCCCCCCACAGGACCTCCTGTAAGTACAGTTGATACATTGTTGGGTCTCCCAGGTTAACCAGGATCAGGCAGAAATGGGTTTAGACCCTGTTAAGTAATCTCCATGGTGAACGGATTATATTTGATCCAGAGGAAATTGACAGTTATTGTTAGTACAGTGTAAACTTTTACTAATTTTGCTGGAGTTGAATGATTTGTTTGGAAACTTATTTTTTTAAACAAACCTTTGAAACAGTAAAACTTTACCTCGGCCCTACAGATAGCATTTTTGGATCAGAATAGCATGTAAGTATGTTCTGTTCATTTTGTCTACTAGTTATTAATGTCTGTTCGGTCTGGTATAGAAATGTTAATCAGTAACCGTGCCAGAAGGCTGAACTATATAACTATAGGAAATGATTCAGCAACCTTTACTTGCACTGAATAGGTTTCAGAATAGCAGCCGTGTTAGTCTGTAGCCACAAAAAGAACAGGAGTACTTGTGGCACCTTAGAGACTAACAAATTTATTAGAGCATAAGCTTTCGTGGACTACAGCCCACTTCTTCGGATGCATATAGAGTGGAATAAATATTTATTTATTATTTATTATAAATATTTATTCCACTCTATATGCATCTGAAGAATGGAATAAATATTTATTTATTATTTATTGTAAATATTTATTCCACTCTATATGCATCCGAAGAAGTGGGCTGTAGTCCACGAAAGCTTATGCTCTAATAAATGTGTTAGTCTCTAAGGTGCCACAAGTACTCCTGTTCTTTTTGCACTGAATAGTAACTTACTCTGGTAAAATAAGCTCCTTGAGACAGGGACTGTCTTTTCGTTATGTGTATGTACAATGCCTACGGCAATAGAGCCCTTATCCAGACTGCAGCCACTAGATGTAATATAAATAGTAAAAAATAATACTCAGTTTTAGTAAGGGTGGTAAATCTGGCCATAAATTTGTTTCTGACAAAATAATTCAATTTTTCTTGTCCGCACCTTTCCAGACTTAAGTCACACTTCTTCTTTTTCTAAGTATAGTATTTAAAATATGTATCTAAAGTATCCGTATTTATTGTGATACTATACCATCCGCAGGTAACAATGCAATCATGAGAATAATATCCCCTGTAAAGCTACTTTAGGAGACTTGCTTTTTTATTTCCTTGGATTTGTCATGGGTTGGCATTTCGACAGTCTTACTTTCATGACCAGATCATCTTGTCAACTGAATGGCATATGTATTTTATAATAATTAATTAATATCCTGAATTTATGTTGTCTGACACAATCATTTTAGCATTAACTGTAACTACCGAGTAGTAATGCTACAAGAAACATTTTAACTTCTAAATTGTCAAAATGCTCAGTGGCTCACATTGGCAACTCATCTGACAGGCTATCAGCGAAAGAGCAGGCTTAATGCACACTAGTGCTCTTTAAATGAAGGAAATGCTGATTTCCTAAATATTTTTTGCAGTTTCTTCTCACAAAATGCAAAGATCAAGCATTAATCAGGATATAAATGATTTTCCTACAGCAAGAGAATTTAGCAAAGCAGATAATGAATTCTGAGTATGCAAATCTTTACTCCTTGATATCATCTCCCTACTGTTTTATCACAGTTCCATTTAAAAAAAAAAGTAGAGCCATACATTATTAATATAACCCAGAATTAACTCCGAGGACTATGGGTAAAGTTTTCAAAAGCCTCTAAGTGACTTAGGAGCCTAAGCTCTATTTTCAAAAGTGACTTGGGCACGTAGGAGTGACTTTCAATGAGACTTATTCTCTGAAGGATGGAATTTTCAAAAGCACCTAAATCCCATTTTCAAAAGTGATTTAAAAGCCTAAGTCTCATTGGGAGTCAGTGGACTTAGGCTCCCAATTGCCTAAATCACTTCTGAAAATGTTTTACTCTAGCTTTGACCCTGTGTACATAGTAGTTACCCTTAAAAACTAGACTGTGGTTATCACCTGGGATCCCACAATAGTTCTCTATATTTAGAATAGTGAATAATTATGGTAACTTAGGTACCATTGTGTAGTAGCTGTGGGTAGCTATTGCATCTTCAAAGATGACCGCTGAAATTTTAGCTGCCTTTTCCTATCTATAACCAGTGTGTCAGGATGACAATCCAAGTCCTGTGGTTTTTATTTTTTATGACCCAATAGAGCTTACTATGATTTTTTCCTTGATACTGACATACTATAGGCAGCACACCTTCCATCTATCTTATTCTCTTTCTGCCATGTGCTGCCACTCAATCTATGTATATAACTCCTACTGATAGCAAGAGTTGCATCAAGGATCAAAGGCAGTAAGTGGCCCTTTTGTTAGTTATTTTTAATGTTGACTATGTTTTATCTTGAATAATGTGCCTTGTCAAAAAAAATATTGTTCACTGTGTATATATATATATCTATGCCGTACTTGTTCACCTGTACAATATAATCAAGTGTATAGGATCAATGGCTATTCGAATTTAACATTAGTGTACTGCACATGTTGGTAATGTCACATGTCATGAATATGCTCTTAATGTGTGTCATACCCATTTCATCTCATTCAACCAGGGTCAACCAGGGCGAAATGGCTATCCGGTAACTGCTCTATCATATCTTTATGAGAGCTTTTTTTACTCTCAGAATCATTCTTTTCTTTTCTGTCTTTTTATTTGTCTCTGCCTTATTAACCTTCACATGAACTAGGGGAAATTCACCCTTCCCTGATGTTTCTCAAGTGCCTAGAGAACATAAGGCTTTTTTTATTTTTTAAATGTTTGCTTCTTCATGTAGAAGTTCTTTATAAATGTTCTAGTGAGATGGACATGTACAAGATATGCCGTAACACAATGCAGAGTTTGATACCAGAAATGTTTTGTTTGTTGAACTTGTGTATTCCTGCGCGCACACAGATAATTTTTTCACCGTAATTTTAAATGTTACTTAAACTGGATCCTGCATATCAGTTTTCTCTATCAGAAAGCTATTCAGTTGGCATGTTGAACCTCTAAATCCTCCACTTGCATTGCATTCTGTTCCTTTTGGCTGCTTAGTTCTATGCATCTTGAGCAAAATAATTGCTAATATAAGGGTCTTAGCAGTTGCCTGCAAAGCCTATTATAGAGCAATTTTATGATAATGTATATAATTCACTTTTGTGTCATCTTCATTTACATCTTTATGGCTTTCTGTCTAAAAAATGGAAATGTATGAAATAATGCATCTTTTTTGAAAACCACCAATGAGAATTTTAGGAAATAACCAGTCAGCAGCACAAGCTTGAGTTATAATGTCACCTTTGTAGGATACAGAGTGTGACCAGTATCAGATATATTTTTGAAACCAAGTTACAAAAGATATTATTGGATAAATCTGAGAGAGAATATAATTGCACAACATAGTAATTGTTTAAGTCTGGTTTTGATCTTATTTTAAGCACTTACTGGTAGTTTGGGGCCTTCAGAACTTGGGTTTGCATGTTCAAATCAGGCAGTTAGATGTCTGATTGCTCAGTATGTGTTAACAAATGCTGTGTGTTTATGCAAACCACAGCGTTGGGGCCCTCCAAATTAGAGGTCAGGTGGAAGCCACTATGGAAATCTGCCCCTAAAATCTTCAGTGTATCTGCTTAGTTTACTGGGGCGGGAGAGGAGGGCAGAAGGAGTGTGTGTGTGGAAACACCAACCCAACCCTATCAGTAGTTTAAAGGCAGCATTGTGGTGAAATAGCCAACAAACAATTCGGCAGAATTGCATCTAAAGAACATGGACATACTGAAACTCCGTTATAGTCAAATACTGTAGTATGAAAGACCTAAATTGCTTCAGAGTACAAACTGTAATTCCATTTATAATGTTTAGACCAAAGTCGTTCTGTGTTAGGGGGAAAAAATATTTGACAACAATTCTCTTCTGCCTTATGCATATGCCTACATG